CAGGAGTAATTGTAACATTATGTCATGTAATGCTTGAGCTGTGAGATCACTGAAACATGATGGCACACCTTGTACCCCCATTGGCATTCGCTGATAGGCTTCATATCCTCGTCCTTCGGTGTAGAAACACAAATAGGGTTGACTCTCTTCCTCCACAGGAATTGCATAGAAACCTGTCGCGAAGTCCAAGATGCAAATAAATTCATGTCCCGCTAAACATTGTTGTTTCGCGGCTATGTCTCCTTGAGGTGTCACTGCTACGTTTGATACCTTATTCACGTCCCTGAAGTTCTGGCATTACAGTGGCTCAAAAAAGTGTCTCAATGTTTGTAACTTTTCATGTAATTGCTTTATTATGAGCCAGGGTGTGGGAATATGACTAAACTGTAGGGAGGTGTCATAAAGCTATACTTCTTAGCCTCATTGAAGTTCCCTATAGCGTGGGAAGATGATATCATCATGTGCATATATGGCTATTTTAATTTGGTGACTCATTGAGACACTTTTTTGACTTTCAGTTTGATCAACACAATCTCTATAATTATGATACTTCATGTGACCTCCTGTTGCTCTAATCACTTCTGCCACTCTTCTAGACATGCTATCTATCAATTTTGAGTATTTCTTCTTAGCACTCCTTTCTCACTCTGCTGCAACTCTGTCCTACAGCTGAAATAGCCCCTATGATGAATTTTGATAGGCTGTAAGCAATTTCTTGAATATTTTTCAGAGATATTCAATAGGGCTGATATATAGGGACTATGATAGACATGATAGAACATTTATATCATGGTCTTTGAGCTGCTAGTGACTAAATTGAAAGCTTACCTCACATGAATGAAGATCTCACATTTACCATATTCTGACTGGGCAGGCTGCTAATGCTACTCAGGTCACCTAATTCATCAATTCCATGGCCGGGAATACATCTGTAAAAAGACAGGTGAACCACTAAAAGAAAAAGAATCGTATAAACTCTTAAGTGTAGAGTAACAAACATAGAGGTATAGGATTGCATGAGATGTAATAGAGTGTATATTCTCTGTGTGAAGTGAAGTAAAGGACTAATACCAAGTGGTACATCTCTATTTTAGATGAGAGTCTGTTAAGAAGCATACAGAAATCATAGATTAATGAGGAAGATACTATGTTGCAATAAAATAATGATCCTAAGTATATGTCTAAGTTAGTCACTAGCAGCTCAAAGACCATGATATAAATGTTCTATCATGTCTATCATAGTCCCTATACATCAGCCCTATTGAATATCTCTGAAAAATATTCAAGAAATTGCTTACAGCCTATCAAAATTCATCATAGGGGCTATTTCAGCTGTAGGACAGAGTTGCAGCAGAGTGAGAAAGGAGTGCTAAGAAGAAATACTCAAAATTGATAGATAGCATGTCTAGAAGAGTGGCAGAAGTGATTAGAGCAACAGGAGGTCACATGAAGTATCATAATTATAGAGATTGTGTTGATCAAACTGAAAGTCAAAAAAGTGTCTCAATGAGTCACCAAATTAAAATAGCCATATATGCACATGATGATATCATCTTCCCACGCTATAGGGAACTTCAATGAGGCTAAGAAGTATAGCTTTATGACACCTCCCTACAGTTTAGTCATATTCCCACACCCTGGCTCATAATAAAGCAATTACATGAAAAGTTACAAACATTGAGACACTTTTTTGAGCCACTGTATTCTCCATTTGACCTTAGATGGGTCTACCTGCTTTGGAGTGATAACCGGTGTTGATTCCATGTCAACAGTGTGGTCCGAAGGCTCACCGAGTGCGACACACTGTTGGTTAACAATCTGTCGAATGTCGTCAAGCGATAAGCTGGTTCCTGAGTGAGTCTTCTGTACTAAGACTGTTGAAGCTACTGCTTTGACTTTGTCCGCTGGAATGAAATGTGTGATTCCTGCCCGTCTCATGTCATCTAGAACTGGGAATAGATACTTGCATTGAGGCTGTGTTAGTGGTCTTTGGTGCATTTTCCTTGAAAATATCGCGTCCTGAGGTATCTGTAGATGGAATTCAGTAAAGTCCACTGGTTTCACTTCCTGGATTGATAGCGCGAATATGTCCATGAACTCTATAACTAGTGCTTGTGCCTTCTGTAGTTGTTCTTTGTTGAGATGGGCTCCAAAATGAATGGCGTTGGTGATTGCATTTACTTGAGGTGGATAGAACAGTCCTCATGATGTTAGTCTAGTAAAGATATCATCAGGTAGTGCTGAGTCTCCAAGGTCCGGTACTTCACCTAATATTTGCGTGTCATCTTCGTCATCTTCCTTATTTACATGTTGGACTTCACTTATTAATTCTGGAGGTTCTTCTATGGGCGATTCTTCTATGGGTGGGACTGTATATACTTGAGTATTGTTGATACTATGTGCTGTAAATTCATTAGACGTTGATACTTGTGGTGTTACAAATTTTGACGATGATGGAAACTGGACAGCCATTGGTAAACATGGCCTTGGGAGAGGACAATACTCGGAGAAGTTGGGGATATGATGATAAGATGTTCTATAAGGTAAAATAATGGTGTCAGCACTATATTTGTGTATCGCTCGTACCTGTTCTAGTAGCAGTTTACCAATGAGCATTCACCATGATCCCCCACTTGGAAAGACTTCAAAGGTTGTGTGCACCTGTACCGGTCCCCATGACAGTATTCCTATCCATACTCCCGTTGACGGTACTAATGCTCCATTAGCCATGTGTAAGGTTCTCATTGAAGGACTTAGTGGAGAGAGGTGTCTTGCTATACATTGATACGCTGCTGTGTCGATAGCGTTGATCATTGCGCCATTATCCACAATGGCAAGGAACCGTGTTTTCTCCCCTTGTGGTCCTTGCAGGTAGGGTACTGTTAAAAATGGATTGCTCGTCTGTGAGATTTCTGGTTTGCCTGAAGCATCCAACCAATAAACATCAGTAATAGAATTGTTTGACATAATTGAAGGTACAACCGAGCCGGTAGGTGATGGTGAGTTAAGAGATGGCAACTCTACGCTTGCCGTTGAAGAAGAAGAAGAAATGCTATGTACAATACTTTGTGCCCGAGGCACATCCTGAGATGTGTTATGAGACGCAAAACTGTTCATTTGGTTAGAAGGAGAAATGAAAGATGGACTTGGTACTATGGGAACTACTGCTGGTCCAACATTGGCAGTGGTTCCATGTAGTTTTCCGGTATCCACTCGTACCCTGGTTCTTGTGCAATCCAATGATCTTGTCCGCTCCATCCTCCCAATTCTTCCTGCAGTGCTACCGTATATATTGGCATTGTTCCCGCCATTCCATATGCACCATACTGTGGGTATGTGGTGGCCATAATGTGCTGGACTGGCGTTGATAAGTAGCTGGGACGATTCATCGGCGATGCTGTCCTTCTAATCAATCCTGCGACCTGTTGTCACCACCTTGATTCTTGGGGTCTTAACAGGTCTTGAGCGATGCATTGTGTACTGACGTGAAGCAGTTCCGTGACCATGCCACAATTGTAGCACTCTCCTGATCCAAGGACTGCGGTTCCTGGACGTAGAGGGTAGGGTTTTTCTAAGGTTGGGAACCCTTCTGCACCATGTGTACGGTGCCATAACTCAACATCCACCTTGTATTGTTGTCTTCCTGCCTCTGTATTGGCTTGTTGGGGCGTTGCTGATAGTTTCTCCAGGATTTGAGCTCTGGTTAGCTGCGCACACATGAAGGGCATTCCCCTCGCATTGGCATCATGGGGTTATTCATGGTGGGGGCTGATAGGGTCAGATAGAGGGAAGGATATGTGTTTCCTATGACATTTGCTGGCATTGGGTTGGGTGGTGTTGCCGTTCAGAATGGTGTTCAGTAGGTTGGTGTGCTGAGTCGTTGAACACTTTGCGCTTTGAGCCTCGCGATGTCTGTGTCCCTTGCATGCTCCTTATCCAGATCCTCGCGACCCCTCTTAAGCTTGATGCTCGGTACGCTCTGCACATCATCTATGAAGTCATCCCAACTATCGTAGTCACATTTGAGGTGGTCCTTCAGTAAGTCCGGTATGCCTTCAACCACGTATTCGATTAGATGTCCTGCTGTATCTCTCATTCCCAGGGCGAGATGCGACACTTTGCTTACCCAAGTGACGTGTCTGTAGTTGCCCTCTGCCCATACACCAATCTCGTCCTCCTCTAGTAGCTCTGCCATGACCCGTTCCTTCTGCTGTGTCTGCATGTACTTGGGTCATTTGGGAGGCGGCCAATGTTTGCGGAATGCGAGTTTGAGGCCTGAAAACATGAAGCTTTTCCTGGTTGCAATGTCCTGGAACCATTCTTCTGCTATGTTCCCTGGAGCTAATTGCATTTCAAAGCGGCTAATTCGCTGCAAATCATTCCAAGATGCTGGCATTGACAGCTTGAATTGGGCGAACCATTCCGTTGGCTCTTCTTTGTTTGCATAGTCCCCCCAAAACAATGGCACTGTTTGTGGGTTCTTGCTAGCCATAGGTAACGGTGGTGAACTCGACTGTTTCCTGATGGGTAGTGCTGCTATGTTGGTGGATGGTGTTGGCGTGGGACGTGTTGCTGTGAGTGAAGAGGTTGTTGTTGGAGAGGATGATGTGCTATTGTCTTGACTTGGGGTGAAGTGAGCTGGTTGAAGGAGGAAGGTAGGGCTTCTGGTTTCTTCCTTCAAGGGTGAGTCTGGTGACCCTTGGTATTCTAGTTGACAGGGTAATGAGAAGATGCGACGACACGGAGTGAATGGTGCTTGATTGCTTGGATATGCTGGAAAAAATGTAGGTCTAGTGGGGGATAAACTCAAGTTCCTGCTGGCACTAGTCGTCCCTGTAGGCGTGAGTCCACGAAGTCTTGCACACATATCTAAGTTGATTCGTCCTGAGTCTGAGCTTTCTATACTGTTAGACGGTGAACTGGGTCGCTGCCCCACTCTCATCACCAGATAGACATGCCAGCACTGTGTTCTGGAAAGGACAAGGACAACTGAGATGCTGATGTCTGCTGGGCTACACGCAACTAGCTACAACCAAAGTCCCCCAGGGACTGCAGAACCCCCTGGCACCCCTGCCTCTCACTCTGCTGTCTCCCGCCAGCCTGTCTCTGCTCTGCTCCTGCGCCCGACATGACTACACCTGACAAGGTGTACCACTACAGCAGTTAGGCACCCTAGTTATGCTGTTTCAATCGGCTATTCGAGTCACGTACGACATCTGCGTTGATCCTGCTGCCTCTCCAGCACCAACTCTACTCCAGCGTGGAGCATCATACTGCATTTTCACACCCCGTTCCCAAGCGATCCGAGTCCTTTTCTTGACTGGAAATTATCCAAGTTACTTGGACGCTCTGTGCAACACCCATCCAGGGTTGTTAAACCTCAAAAACCTGGATTGCTGGAACATTTACCTAGAACAGGTGCAAGCACTACTGATGTGTCCTTACACGCGACAGTTCTTAACCCTGGGGGGAATTCTATGGCGTCTTGTGCTCCAATTCAGCCCACCTTCCCTTCTCAATCACGCTCTTGCAGGCCCCTCTTCGGACATCATGATATGGGGAATAGGAGACATCGCCAATGGTCAATGTGATGATTCTGTGGCAGCGGTGGACAGCGCCACACTGATTGATGTTTCAGAAGCTGGATCTTTTTGGCTGCCCCATGACATCTGGGATGCATCTTGCCGATGGAAAGAGTTTTGGTCAGACACAGATGAGCAGTGGTTTCAATCACATCTCCAGAACTTATCCTCTAGGAATGTGGGAGCTAGCAAGACCCACAAGGATTGGAAGTGTTTCTTCAGACCCATTTCAGCAGCAAAGTCATCAGACACATCTATATATGGTTCAGAGGCATTCGCTCGTGAGCTGTTTGGACAATTGGGCTTTTCCACGGCTCTGGTCCCTACCTGGGATTTGTCAGTGGACAGGTAAATGTGCTACTTGCATAAGATACTATGTATTCACATCACAGTGCGTTGCGACAAACATGTATGAGTCTGTATGAGACCTTTGTAGCTTTGATAGTACTTCTATAGTGGCAAGAGTATATCATTGTACATACATTGCATCAAGGGAAATTTACAAACCATTGTAATATCAGCTAGTAACAAATATATAGGAGTTTCATAGCATTGAGTGACAGCATTATAATTTTCAATAGTCACAAGATGCTGATCCATTGAGAATTGTAGATGTTAGAGATATTATTATATTACTACAGGTAAATTCTGACATGACAAAGGTGGCTATGTAAGTGTGCATCACATAGTGCAATGTAGTTATTGGTAATAGCATTATATTGCTATAGTGAATCCTCACATTACTATGGCAGCTATGTAAATGTAGGAGGTTGCTATACAGTGATCATAAAGGGGGGGGGGGGGTTATTATGAAGCTATGACAGCTATATATGATATAAAGTGCACTATAGAAACCCTAATTTTTTCAGATGATCTTGGTGAGTTTGTCACACATAGCTCTCACACTATTCTCATCAGCATTGCATCAGCATTTTGCATCATAACCTTTTGGATTACAAATTTATGGTGTTGCATGATGTAACATCTAAATTGAGGTGGGTAAAGGACTGGTGAAGTCAAAGATAACACTGTTTTTAATGATCTTGCTACAATACACTAACATCATCGTCAATAACTCTCAAAAATTTATTATAGTATTTACATGTACAGTGGAATATTACTGTCCGCTATGATTTTCGAAAAAATGAGTTATTATAGAGTGGGATGCATTTCAAAATGTGATGAGTAAAGGACTGGTCCTATACTGTATGGTGCTGCCAAAGTCCAGTTCGGTCTGGTTCTTGGGCCTCTGAATGTAAACCCCAAACTGGACTATTGGTCAGGTTCAGGCAAGGAGTATGAACACTTGAACACAACATATAATTTAAAAACAAATTGTAGAAATTACATGAAAAATTTGATACACATGAGTAACTACACAACATCCATGAGGGGGTATTCACGAGCAGCTGCAAACTCAGCTTGTGCCATTGCAGATAGTATGTGACCCTGACGATACATACTCTTTAGCAGTTGCAGAGCCTCAAACATTGTTGGCAACAAGCAGTTTCGGCATGTCCCAGTGATTCCACCACTTGAAAAGGCCTGTTCTGATGCAATGGCAGAGCCCTGAATGGCCAGATAGTCTTTTGTGATGTGGGAAATGGTAGGATATTGAACTGAATGATGCTAGGAATATGGTGAGCTTGAGGAGAAATAGCAATACAAAAAACTAAACTTACCCCCCACCATGCCACCACATCATCAATGTCCTCTAGCGGTGTTGCAAGATAATCATCAAGCTCTTGGCGAGGCCTTTGGCTCATAATGTCATTGATGACATGAGATTTGATGGCATCACACATCCAACTGTGGCCATACGACCCTTGATGAGTGAGCAATGAAGGAACAGCAATAGCTCACTCTGCATTAGGCAATGAACTTAAAGTAAGATAGGCCACAGTCATACTTAACTTGATCACGTGGTGTGACTGAGGTGGTGATATGATGTGATTTTGTGTTATCAACTACTATCAGTCACCATTATACAATGTTATCAAGGTTGCGCAAAATATCCTACATTCTCTTTGGAGTGAGTTGTTGACTTAGCCCAGCTTCCCAGGTTTGCAATGTTGAAGAGTTGTTTATGTTTTGGCATACTATTGAGAGGTAGTGTTGGTTCTGTCGATGGCTTCTGAAGCAGATGACAAAGCACAATTAGCATGTCCCAAACATAAGAAAGTGATCTTCACTTTCAGTTTGAACTAACTATATTACAATTTTAAAACCTAAGCTCTCTAAGGATGTACTTTAGCTAACATTCCTAAGTTCTACTTTAGCAAAAACGATGATTTGAAGGAGGAGATGCGATTCTGGTACTTCTGTCATGAAATGTCATGATCTGATTACATGATCAAGTAAAGTATGACTGCGGCCTATCTTATGATGATAATGTTTGTCAAACTATGTGAAATTAGTGCACTTGCAACCATGAGACAGACATGGACTTATGACTTTTTGCAAGCATTCCATACCTGCCTCAAAGTCATAATGCTTCCATTTACTCTTCATGTATGTGACCTTATAGTCAGGGTCAAGTGCTAGGATGACAGGGGGCATTCTATAGTAAATGTAGCACATACCAAGACAAATAAAATAGACATTGTTTTTGTTGATCTTGTGGTACCATTTGCAAAGATTATTGAGACCAGAGTTGATGGCCATTGAGAAGTTGTTGAACTTTGAACAATTGGCCATGTTTTGCCAAGTCTCTTGCAGAAACTTGAGGACTAGAATGGTATGCCATATAGTAGTTTGCGAGTTGCTGAAAAAGATTGTTAGGTGTTTGTGGGCTCCTTGTAAGTAGTTTAATAGTTAGCACAAAAACAAACAATGGAGAGGCTTACATGCACCTGAAGCATGTCACACATTAATTCCAACACTTCCATTCATCCACTGAGAGCTTCAATGCTCCATATGACTTACCCTGCAAGTTAGGAACTTCATCGCTGTTGTCTGTGAGCTGAATAAATCTATTGAACCCCTTATACAACTGAAGTGCGCGTTCCATCATGCCAAAAAGTGAGGCCCATCTTGTGCAAATCCATTTTAATAGCTCAAGACTTGGCTCATTGACCTTAGCACAACACTTCTGAAAGAAGGTTTATGTCTGAGAAGATTTTTGTACCTGCATAAATGGTTCATTAAAGCAGGCTTATACTCAACTGAAGGTTAAAACTTATCTGTGTTACCAGTGTGAGGGCTTTTCCAATGGTATCGGCAACCTCAAAATCAGTCATTTCATCACCCTCATCATCATTTGTCATGTTCTTGCTGAGAATACTAGCCATGTGAAAACAATGTCCTCAATAAAGTGTTTGGCCGCTAAGTGTAAGGCATGCTTCATGCAACTAATAGACATCAGTGACATTGAATTGAATTGAATGTGAAATAAACAACTTACTACACATGGTACTCACTGGCAATCCACTTTGTATCAGAGGGGTCAATAGCATCTGCAACAGTCTGAATCGCAGTATTATTGTTAGTGGCATTGTTAGCCATAAACCAACCAAGCTTGTTATAAATGCCATAGTCATCGATAGTTTGTATTAAAATTTGGCCAATGTTGCTGCTGTTATGATTACCATTGATGGTGGTAAATGCAATTTGCTCCACCTTCAGCTTTCACTCATGAGGTTTCCCAACTGGGGAGTCAATATAATGTGCCATGACAGATAGGAAAGGTACACTGGGTTCAGAGGTTCATGAGTTGAAAGTGATAGACACCTTACTGTTGACTTGCTCCATTTTGTCGTTGACATGCTGGACAGTGAGTTTGGCTTGTTGAAGAATTTCATCATGAGTTTTGGTGTGATGGAGAATGTCTCTGTCCATAAGGGAAGGCCGGAGATACTGAAGGAGTTGACAGAATAGTCCCTTATTAACAAGTTGGAATGCCTATGTATGGCATAAGTGTCTTAGTTACACAAAAAATTGTAATCACTCACCTTATGTATTTTAGGTATGAGTGACTGGTCTAATATCTGCTAGGTCCCATCAGTTGCTTTGCAGTTGGCAGGTATGGCACAATTGTGCATCTTGATACCTTATTCCTTGCACCAGTCTTGGTAGATAGCTTTACATTACAAGTGATATGAGTATGGTGAGTGGAAATGCTGCCTTTGAAAAAGCATTCATTCCATGGTACATTGTTAGCTCTGTAATCAACATTAGTTATGTGTGATCAATTCAAAATGTTTGAAGTCAAAACATACTTGCATATTTCACACCACCAGCCATCTGTGTGTGCAAGTAAGCATGATTCTCTACAAGCATTGGCACATGTTGTTGCCTGTGTGTGATTTCTGCATTTGGATCTGATGGATGATTGAAATCATAGTAAGTGGGGACTTGACAGTGTGCTCTTATTTTGAAAGCTGTCCATATGGTCATTGTGAGAATACAGAGCATCTTGAGATAAGTGTCATAGTTAGGAATTTGCTTATTAGGCAGGAACTTCTTGCTCACTGCCAAAAAGCACTGCCTCTGCTATTATTGTATTAGTACCTCCTTCAGGCATGGCATTCTATAGTAGTACTTGGTAGCGCATATTTGACTTTGCTACTTTCATCATTCTCTTAAACTTTTCGTTGGTAGATTATTGCCTGGTGTAAGAATAGAAGCATGCAAAATTATTGGCTGGAGAGCTGGCACCAGCCACAAATAGGCCAGTGATGGGTGAGGGAGGGGTGGATACTAGAGGCAAGTCTCTCTAAAATGAGAGTGGTGCAGTAACCATAATATCACCTGTAGCCTATAGAACAATGTTAGTCACAATCACAAGATAGGTAAGCAACATACTCTGATAACACTAGTTGGAAATAGGTATCCTCAATACTTTTTAGATAGTTAACAAGGGTTATATACAAATACCTTGCAAATTTCAGGAAGGTCAATGGGCAACTATCTTACATAAAAAGCTCATTCTTCTTTCCTGTGCCTCTCATGCATAGGCACAATGTTTCTAAATATTGTTGGTGTAAACACACCAAATCACTGAGCCTTACAAGATGCAAGTTCCAGTAGTGTGAATGAAGGTAGGGCTTGGGCTGATGGAATAGGTGGCAACCCTATGATGGCTGATGGTAGCCCTACAATATCTAAGTATAGCTCTGTAATAGCTGAGGGTAGTCTTATGGTAGGCCTAGCTGCTCAGAACCTTCATTGTTATCCTCTATCTCATTATTCTCTACATCACATTTCTCTATCTTATTCTCCTCTATCTTATCATCCTAAAAATCTTCATCTATGCTTTCTGAGTTAATCTATGAGATAAGTTGCTTGTAGGATGCTGGAGGCTGGGGTTGCTTGATACAGATGCTGATCTGGCTTGCATCTAAGTTTAAGAATGAGTTCAAATCTATGTTTTTACTTAGTTTTTTAATTGCCTAACAATATTTAAATTAGTTGTATGTGCACATTTAATAAGACATATCTTAGTGTTCTTATGTATAGGTTGTGTTTTTGTGGTCTTTGTGTGTTTCATACAAGTTATATTCTTTGTGTTGCAACTTGAACCCACCTTTGGGGCCATAATAAAGTGGGTGGAAAATATACAATAAGATGCACCCTCAATTCTGGTACTTAATAGTTAGACTTATTCAATAAGTTGCATGGTTTCATAAACCTCATGATGTAGCCAAATAAATAATAATAATAATCAGTAATCGCAAATGCAAACACCTATGTATTAAACACACCCAGATCTTGTATGCTGTGAACCACATGGCACGATTAGCATGGTTCAAATAGTTTCATATGGGGTCAGGACATGATAGAAAAAAATGATATGATAGTAAGAAGATGATATCAATAATGACAATATCAATATAGCAACAAGAAGAGTAAGAGTATGTCATGAGGTTAGGGAAATAATTCATAGCTATAAGCAAGGCCCTCATAAGGAGCTTTTCACTCCAAATTTTGACAAGGAAGCCAATGAACAGCTCACTTGATCTTTCACAGGATGGTCACAAGCCTTCAATGGCCCTTCATGCTCTCTTTGATGCTATCCCTTAGTGGAAGTGCAAAGAAATCTTCAATATATCATATATCCATATGTGTAGCTTACAGCAGCATGGTATGCTAGAAAACTTTTGAGTTTGCTATTGAGAAAGTGCTAAAAGTGAAGTAGCATAAAATACACAGTACATGCACCTTTGCAGCTGAGAGAAAGAGATCCCCACTCAAAAGTCTACTTCAACTACACCTAACACCACCAACTCCCCATCCAGAGTTGAGTCTACATGCACTGCATACAAGCAAGAATAAAAGTGTGTCTCTAGATCTATCCTTTCCTATCAATTTTCTCCTCACATCTCCAACTCTTCTCCTTTTCTCATCTTTGGCATCCTGGTGTTGTCCACAAGCATTCATATCATATTAGCACTTGCTGGTGTTCATTGGGCATTTGTACATAGTGCTGGTGGCATTGGACATGGCATAGTGGTCATTAGTGTTGATGGTATTGGCATATGCACCAATGCTGATGTGAATAGTGGGGGTGAGGGTACAAATGGTGATGTGGTGTTCAATGAGTTGTGCACCCATGGTACTAAGTGCTTGCTGCCAGTATTTGGATGGTCTAACCCATGCACAGGTATGGGTAAGGGTATGGGTGCCATAAAAGGCAACCCTGACTGATATGTACGGATATACAGTATGTACAAAAACCATGGTTCGGAGCATCCTGCTCATCTCGTCTACCCTATCCATTTGGTGTTCCAGGCATGCCCCATAAGAATCACCCTGTCATGTCATTCAACTAAACCTCCAAGCGGAAGTCACATTCACGCATCCAACCTGATCGCAGGTAGTGGCAGCCATCCGGTTTAGCCCTATGCTAGACTAGAAATACATTTAGAATCAAGAAAACACTGCCAATGGATGCCAGATGACAATGATACAAAGTATTCCTGTATCAAATCCAGCACATACTTGTTTCATATCCACATCATATCTGAATATGATGAGACATTCAAAGTGTCCTGGGTAGAGGACATACAATAAAACTTAACTTCAGTTTAAGCAAAAGTATTGATGGCTTACCGCCTCCAGGCTCCCATGAGTCAGCAACAACATGAAGTACGCTGTGCCTTCGGACAGCGATTATACTAAAATATTATCAATAGCCTTCCCAAGAAGTATAATTAAAAGACTCACATGTTATCCCTTCAGAAGCCTGGGAGATATATATTCAATCTATACTCCGAAAGTGATGTCTCCACCACTATCTGAGTGTCCAGGAGAGGGGAAGGGCAAAGGAATGAGTGTGGAGGATGCTTAGAGGTGTCTTCTCCCAGGCATTCAAACTGTACCAGTGGAGTCAAAACAACCGGTGCCTCGGGAGTATGATATGAAAACAATGTAGGAGTTGAACTCAGTGAAGAAGGCGACCGTAAGGGGCTGGGAATATGGGATAGACTCCCTGGCTGCTCTGATAGTAGTCCCGCAGGGCTATGATATAGCCAAACACTGGTGCTAGGTTTAAGTGGCATTGAGGGTATTGACCACTCACCCTTACCTGGGACCTGTGTAGGTTACTCATACTCATGCAGTTGCTTAACATGGATGAAGCTTTCAAATGGAATCTATCAGAATTCATACTCACATCACCCTCCCACATAAGGTACCTTGTCATGATGTGATGAGCTTTTGCCAATTTTACATGAGTGCTTTGCTCAAGTGTAGTCCAAATGGTAAGCAGTCAGGAAGCAGTGAACTCAAATATATTTGCCATATTGGTGAGACTAACGGAATTATTGGTGCTAGTGAGAGCACCATTGACTATGAATGTAGACTTGGACATAATGAATTTGCTCTGAAATATAATATCAGCAGCCATAAGAATTTATATCTCTGGTTCCCATTGGAGCTTAAAATGATTTGTGTTCTGGGAACAAGCCATAAAACTTTTTTATTGTTTAGTTAATTTGAGTAGATGACTGAAAGCACAAAATATTCCATAAATAATTGCTACAAAACATTGGTGACATCAGCACTGGTAAACACTGTCCCTAAATTAATCATCAGTGAACTCCACTATGATCAGTATTGCTTAGTTCAAAATCCTTACTTTCACGAGGTCCTTATATATACATTTGATCTATATTGAAACATGTGGTGGACTATGATTTTGTGGTACCAACTGTAAGAATCACAAACCTTGTAGACTCCTATGGGTCCAGCTATTGTTTGGTCCCCACAGTGCATCTAAAAAGCTGAGTTGGTTGAAGCTCACTCTAAAGTGCTTTTGAGCAGTTCATTTGTGGACTAGCTCAGGTTTGCATTTGTAAAGCATACTTTTAGTTATATTACACCCTGAGCTGGTAATATCAGGTAATTTATGCAAAGATGTGTTATCAAGATTATTGAAAAACAATCATTGTATTGATCTATGTTATCTACACTACATTGTATAGTAAATCATCATCATCATCAGCCTCAATATCACTGCACATCTGCAATGGTCCAACTTCGAGTATATCAAGTTTAAAACTTTCCAGTGTCTTTTTATCTTCTCCATCAAGACCGTCGAGAATATGTGAAAGGTGCCGGTTCCAGAGTGCCTGGAAGGAACCGGCACCATACGTCCAGCTGAGCGAGAGTTTTTGGCTCCTCTCTCTTCATTGTTTCTTCTTTGTATCACACATCCCACTCACTTGTACCTACAGTCTCCTCACTTATTTCTTGTATTTTCGATTATCAGATACTTTGCTTTAATATTTCAAATGACACACCAGCATTTAGGCCTTAATCTCCCAGGGAACAGCAACCCTCAAGCAACCCCATCCAGCTCTACTTTGCAGAGCAACCAGATATCCACTGCTAATAGGCCTATGCAACCACCCATCCTACCCTTGCCTCCGTCAACTCAAAGGATGGGAACCACTGTCATGCATGGTATGTGATTCATACCATGTCAGATATATATATAGAGTGATAAGGAAGATATGAGAGACTGTCTAGCCCTCTGTCACTAAGTTACCTCTCTATTTTTCCTTTTTTTCATTGTCTTGTATTTTATTTCTCACTTTTCAGGCTTATTTTACCTTGTATTTGTATCAAGCATGTGACCTTCTGTTTATTTCTCATTGTTTATTTTTATTTGGCTTCTTTCAGCCACCAAGTTTTGTATCTCTATTTATTTCTGACTGTTTATTTTTATTTGGCTTCTTTCAGCCACCAGATTTTATTTGTCATCACATCATGTGACTGGGAAATATTCTGGTTTGTAACATTATTTAAGCTGACTCAACATGTTTAGTCATGATTGGTCATGCTTTGTAACAACATTTAACATGACTCAACATGTTTAGTCATGGTTTGTCATGGTTTGTAATTTCTTTGTAAGATTACACTGTATTTGTAATGTACTTAGTAATAAGCTGATTCATCACCTGGTTTGTAAGCCATATTCTTACCAATCCATCTGATTAATCATGCTTAGTAAGGGGGTTCCCAAAAGGTATAAAAGGACCCCATTTTTACCCATGAAATACAATCCTCCCACTTGACTCTTATCTCAAACTGTGTGAGACCACTAAGACTTAAAAGTGCAGGCCAATATAAGTGCCTTGAGGTAATCTAAGATATCATTATCTACTCTAAGTTATATACTACCTTACAGGGGTTGACTATATAATTTTCATTATTGTTATCCTACTCTAGGTTATAGACTACCTTACAAGGGTTGACTATATAACCATTGAACAGCTCTCATTCTAAGCTTTACGTGTATACAAAAGACTCTCTCTTTCAACGGAAAGTGAGACACATATCTAAGGACGACAAAGTTGAAACAGACTTTCATAGGTTGAAACATGACCTACTAGGCTGAAACAAACCTAACGGATTTATCCAGAACACAGAACTTTCCACAACACTTCATATAAGACTACACAAGAAGAGGACAACAAACTAAATCCTCCCAAGAACTCACCATGTTACCTCCCACAAAGTAGAAAAGTCGGAGACCGTGGACTTAAGGACTGGCAAGAAGTCTTCACCATGTATAATTGTGTTGTCATTATACACAACTTTCATATAAGACCCTTAAGTAATAAGACATCACATCTACCCACCTGAATTTGCCTCCCACTGGTAACCCAGCACCTAGTGGATCATCACCTCACCTAGCGCCACAAACAAGACCTTCCACGCAATCTGGACATTCGCCCACTACATCTGCTGGATTGTCTAACTCAGCAGCTAATCTGCCCACGCCTAATGCACCCACTGGCACGGCACCCCCACTAGTGGGGCCAGCTATAGTCCAACCGGACCCAGCTGCGCAGAGGCGCACAACTGAGTGTGCAGCCCTATGAGCCAGGCTTCTGGAGTTAGAAAAGGAGGAGGCCAATGGCACCCACCCACTGGCAAATGCCCCTCTTATTCGTATTCCTGCCTCATTTGCAGACCCAGCTGCAGTTGATAGAGCTCGTGAGGCCGCTGCCGCTATGCACAATGAGCCAAAGAAGCCCACATTGCCAGAATTGGTTCCTGGCTTCAAAGCCAACCCACTTGATGCCAGTAAGTTCTCCTCTACAATATTTCATCGTTGTCATTACATTGTCATGCACCTCATTGGCGCAAATCCTCCATCGTGGCTCTATGCTCCTCTTTGGAGGCAGGCCTTAATTTATATAGTACCCACTTTGTTTCCCTCCACACCGTCGAGAGCTCCATTGCTCACATAGATCTTCGCATTACAGTCATTCCTCCAAAGGTAGAGGATGCCTTAAGGCAATACAAATATGTGCCATACCTAGCAATTACCCCTGCAGCACGCCTTCATGCTGCTCGCAACGGCGACAAGGCTTTTTCCTTCAATACACAAGGCAACTTAGTAGCCAAAGGTTTAGATCATAGCAAAGAACAAACAATTAAATTTCATGATTGGTTGACTGCATCCAGAGCCATGGAAGAGCATATCACCTTTTACCACGGCACCAACCATGGGGCAGCCTTCATATCTCATCATAAGATTGTTTCTGAGCTCACATCCTCCCACGGATGAGAAATTGCGCAAGAATATGATATTGCACAGTGAGAGCTGGCCACACAGAACCCAGCCCATGACCTGACAGGTCTGGACATCAATGCCCTCACACTTGTAGCAACTCAGGCCGTCGCACGTATATCCCTAGCCACTCAGCTAATACCACCTCATACATCGACATCTCCACTGAAATGTTCAGCACCTGGGAAGCTTTTGTACAGAGCTACACAATCTCTGTGCAAGAAAGTGCGAGTACATTGCTTTCAATGTGGGCACTCTGGACATTTGCCGGGCGACTGCAGTGCCGAATCTACCTCTGCAGGCAGAACTGTGGCCCCAATTACAGCCACAGCAAAGAGCAGACACACTCTCACAGCAGCCAACAGAAAGCACTACTGCTTCAATTGGGTCCGCTCTTCTGCCTGCTCGTTTGGAGCCAACTGCACCAACTTCCATGGATGCAGCATCTGCGGAGAGGCTAGTCATGGAGCTGGCAGCTGCACCCAGCGAGCCTGACCCCCGCTTAGTGATAACTCCACTCATTGTAGATTGGGTTGAGGAACTTCTATGTAAATATAATATCTTAGACAACTGGTTGCACATACTTGCAGGACTTCGCAATGGTTTTGATGTTGGGGTACAAGGCACCCCACCGAACACTCGTTTATTTCAAAAATCATACATCTTCTCAGCTAGACCCTTCCTTTATCGACTTGTACATTGCCAGCGAACAAGCCACTGGTTGTTATTCCCAAGGTTACACCCCTCATGAACTCGAACTCCTAATTGGACCTTTTCAATCATTGCCCTTAGGGCTAGTGCCAAAGCCTCATTCCAGCAAATTCCGCTTGGTACAGGACCTCTTATACCCATGAAACGACCCTTCCTTTGCTTCAGTAAATGCAGGTATCAATTCAGACAACTTCCCCATGGTATGGGGCTCATTCGACAGCACGGCAGAACTAATTCTCACTCTTCCACTGGGCTGCGTCACAGCAACGTTCAATATCTCAGTGGCATATCACATAACTCCCGTGCACCCTCTCCAGCAAAACACTCTATGTGTATTCTGGCGCAGGATCATCTACATGGACAGAGCTCTCATGTTTGGTTTAACATCCAGTGCTGGAGTATTTGGATCTATTGCCGACATGCTCATCGCTATCTGTGGAAAGGCAGGTTTTGACCCGATCTGAAAATGGGGGGACGACTTCCTCATCATCTGTTTACCGCATCAATCTTGGACAGAAGCCGATTTCATTGCCCTCACTGCTTACTGTGGTGTTCCATGGAGCCTCGAGAAACTCCGCTGTTTTGCCTCCACACAAAGTTATATTGGATTAGACTGGAACCTCAAAAGAAAATCTGTAGCCTTACTGGAGGAGAAACTTGCCAAAGTTCAAGCTCTGGTGAAAATGTGGCTAGAGACTGCCACCAAATTCTCTGAAAAAGAGGCAAACAGCCTTCACAGAAAACTCATGCACGTTTCCTGCATATTCCCGATCATTCATCCCTTCTTAAGGGGGCTTTCATCATTTGCAGCAATATTTTTCTCACCTTGCACAAAGCTCTCCCTACCAAAAGGTGTTATCAAAGACCTCCAATGGATCTCGGACTTGATTCCAATCCTTCCCAACAAAATTCCTCTGCACTCCACGCACCTGCAGGATATAGGTTGGTGGGGCGATGCCAGCACCTCCTTTGGCATTGGTGTTGTAGTTGTCCGCTTCTGGGCAGTTTGGCATTGGGCGCCAGGTTTTCGAGTCGGACCAAAATGTGCCTTCGACATAGGATGGGCAGAGGCAGTAGCTGTGGAACTAGGGCTTCGCATGGCACTATACCTCAGTCAGTCATTATCTCATCTTACACTGCTGTACCCTCACTCGTCCATTTCAGACCTATTAAATACAGGGAGCCCACATGACCACATCTTCCGAGTCTGGTCAGACAATGCAGGCATTTTTGGTATGACCAACAAAGGCCATTCCCACAGCTCGGCAACCAATTCCACCCTCAAACACATTTATGCCTTGCAGGCCCTCAATGAAGTGTGCCTCCGCACAGAATATGTTCTGAGTTGAGACAACATCGCAGACACACTCTCACGTGATGACATAGCAGCTTTCTTAGCTGGTTTTCCCCGAGCGGCTCAACAAGCCTCTTTCAATTTGCTGGATCACCTCGAGGGCAAGTTGATATCATTGTAGCCTCAGCCCATTTGGTCACAGTTGCCATTCGTCCCCCACCAGCAAACTCTTCACCACCATCAGTCCCATCTTGTCTCCTCAGCCTTAACCCTTCATCTTTCTGATCCCCTTGTTGGGCAAACGAACGACTATTCCTTTGGCGAGGGCCCAATGTCCCACCACCAGCAATGATTGCACACCCCATCATAGAGCATTTGGCCAGCGTAGCATCCAGAGCTTCCCTTTGCGATACAATGAGCTATGGCTCTGGCCTCTGCAAATTTCACCTTTTTTGTGACATTTTCTCTATACCAGAGTCCGACCGCCTCCCAGCCTCCTTTGAATTACTCCATTTGTTTGCCCTCTGGGCAGTCTCAGACCCTTCGCCTGATGACTCATTCAGCAGTGCTTGCACTGTGATCCCTTTTGAACCTGTTTCAATAGGCATAGCTAGAAAATACCTTGCCGCTGTTTGTGCATGGCACATCACTCAAGGCTGGCACCCACCACTTTCTGAAGATGACCATGCTCGAATAAATTGGTCTCTACACGGTTCAGACAACCTGCTTGGTGCTCGATGCAAGCCGCTCTGTCCTCCAGTCACTATCAATATGTTACATGCACTCAAAGCCACCTTAAACTTATCCGACTCATTCGATGCCTGTGTCTGGGCAATGGAAAGCTGTGCCTTTTTTGGTATGATGTGTTTCGGCGAAGTGTCGGTTGAATCACGTACAGCCTTCAATCCAGTAAAACACATCACTTGCAAGGATGTTTTCCTGGGAATGGGCCTTGTAGGGAAGGCATATGCTCGATTAGATCTGCCATCAGCTAAAATGGCTCGCCCAGGAGAAATTCAATCAATCTTCCTTGTTTCCCAGGGCGCACTCTGTCCTATTACAGTGCTACACAACTTAGCATCAGTAGTACCGGCGCTCCAAGAGGACCCTTTGTTCTCATGGCGAGACAAACTGGGTGACATCCGCCCTATGGTAACACAGCATGCACTTGAGCGCATAAACTGCATAATCGCAGCTTGGGGGTGGGGAACCACGTTCAGGCACTCGTTTCACATAGGAGGGGCCTCATTCTACCTTGCACAGAAGGTAGATCCTGAAATAATGCGTCTAGCAGGGCGCTGGCATTTGCTTGCCTATGAAATGTACATCCGCACCTTCGAACAAATTGCTTCTCAACACCTCAGCATCATCCCATCGTAGCACTGTCTCACCAGTGATTGGGCTGGCTGCGTGATCCGCTGCAGTTTGGTTTCACCAGCACATGGGTAAACAGCAATCTTGTCAGTGTCCAAACCAAGCTAACGCTCGGCCCCAGCCCAACCACTGTTGGAATGACCTCTATACCGCCCAATAGACAAAGCTGGAATGTGAAAGGTGCCGGTTCCAGAGTGCCTGGAAGGAACCGGCACCACACGTCCAGCTGAGCGAGAATTTTCGGCTCCTCTCTCTTTGTTGTTTCTTCTCTGTATCACACATTCCACTCACTCGTTGTAAAGATACAACAATGCTAGATACTATATGAAGTAAGTGTCAGCAATATAAAAATGTTGTATTGGTCTTGCACAGCCTAGTCTGCTATACTTGCTGGACAAGTGTGTTCGACCCGAGGGGTTTGCTATTGGAATAAGTATATAGTGAGTCAATCGATAAATCGTCAAAAGTCCAAGCACGAGAAACAGAATCCGAAGGTATAATTATGAGTCCGATGCCAAAGTGTCGGCTGACATTTTCAGGTTTAGCGGGTTTCGGGTGCAGGTTCGGTGGGTTTGCGTCGGGTTTGCAAAATGATTGTCGGGTGTAGTGAGCGGTATGCAGAATATTGATAAGGACGGGTGTTTCGGATAGAAAGTGCGGTAATATTCGCAATGTCAATTAAGAACTACGAAATATCGGGTTTGACCACAAAGTGTCAGGAAACAGCTCCCTACTACTTCCCTCATGAATATGCTGTGTGGAAACCAATATATATATAAGTACGTAGAAATCCGGAACCCTATAGGCAAAAGTAGCAACTGAAGAATTTCGGGTCCAATGTACATGTAAATAAACACGAGGTGCTGCGGACTATGGGAAAACATGTAATAGCGCTAGTGGGGCTAGCTGACAAGACCAGACACAGATAGGACAAGTGCATGGGAAAAATATCAGGTCCGCTAGTCAAAGTGTCAGGTTTGGCGGATATGCATCGGGTTACATCGGGAAGTGAGTATTGTGCAACGGGCATTTGACGTGATGTGTGAAATGGCTGAATACGAGCCTAGTGCGAGCTTGAGTGCTACATCATACCTACAGTTTCCTCACTCGTTTCTCGTATTTTCACCCTCCCTCCACTCCCATTATTGTCGCAACTAATAATCATATTCATGTCATATTGGATTATCTTAAGTATCCATACATACATACCTATCATCATATCTAGCAGCCTATCTTATCACATATAATAGTCATCCGACAATCCGCTGTCGAGTTTGTTTCCCGCCCACCCGGTGGCAATCTCATCAGCATCCAAACCGAGCTAATGCTTGGCCCCAGCCCAACCACTGTTGGAATGACCTCTGTGCCGCCCGATAGACAAAGCTGGAGTTGATGATCTCAACGAATTTGTTGTAATGGACCAGACCTGTGAAGGGATCAATGGATGGCATCATCATCCATTCTTCCTGCAGTACACAGTAAACAGCTGCTATGACAATCATGATGATGTAGTTGACCTTCGTGAGGGGAGATTTGCCAAGGAAGGTCTCATGTCTAAGATACCAAATGAACCGGATCATGACATGCTTGATGAATGTATGGTTGAAATGATTGTGAACATGTATGTTACCATCCTAATTAAAAATGAATGCACATACCATATCAAAATGATGAGAGTGCATAATTGTCAATGTGTCTGTATGGGTAAGTGTCATGGCTATATGCACCTGGTATTGAGTTGGTGTCTGTTCTGTATGTCCTTTCAGGCAGTATAGCTCATATGCATGAGGTACACTGCTGCGAGCAATGTCGATAATTTTGCCATGTGCATTTGTAAGTGCTTGGGATACAGAACAATATTGTTCTTTAGTGACTAGGGAATTGCATAAAACTATAAAGCCTGTTAGTAGCATGTAACAGATGAATCTAATAAAAAACTCACTGGTTAATGAGAAAATTTTCAGGACTGTATCTAAAATAGCTTTCTTGATGAGGTGTTTCTGATCTGCTGCAGTTTGCAACATTGCATACTTCATGAAAAGCCAATCAACAACCCCATGTTTTGCCTTGCATATGATTTGTTGACGGACCTCTTTTGTGGGTGTAATGTCTTGAGGCTGTGACAACAACAACAACAACACCAACAACGGCTCCATCACAGAAGGCCCAGCATGCACTTCAATGGCGACAGGGCTTTGTGCATCAGAACTCACCAGGGTTTGTGGAACCGCATATGGTGTTGATGGCATTGACACCTGCCGGGTCACACATTGTATGGTCCTTGCAAGCCCTGTAGTCTAGAATTAAATGCATCAGCAGGGTGCATCCAACAAATGAATTAATACTCACATGCACTATATTGGATGAAGGTATCTCACCTCTCTGCATCATTGTTAGATCAGTTGGCTTGTATGCTGGCACTAGATGTACTCTGCAATCTGGCACATGCCCACTCCATTGTGACATGGGCAGGTCTGCATCTGTGTAGGGATCTGACCTCAAAGTGTCTGTCAGCATCTGTCTACCTGGAATTGATGCTATTAGCATTAAGGCATCATTGAGTGTGATTGGCAACCTACCAGCCTGACCATACAATGTGTCTATGTCAAAATTGCTGTCGTCCCCAAAGGTAAAGTGTGGCAGTATCGAATCAGCTTAAGTGTCAGGCGTGTCTTCATCAGCATCAAGAGTCCACAGTTTCATAATTCACTCACAATGGCTCCCTTGCCCACCTCCACCTCTATCATACAGATCGAACATATTGTCAGGCATTCATAGTTGTTCTGAAGGAATATTGAGCTGATCATTGGCTGGCTATCCCGATGGATTAAGCCCTGATCCCCAAAATGGTTTTGGGATGGTAGCCTTACTTTTGCACTTGGTATTGGTACCGCATCCAGCACCTTGCATTTGGCAAGCAGAATTAGTGTCAGCAAGTAGAGGAGAATGAGCAAGTCAGATACAATCATAGTAGGGGAAGGAAACAATCAAGTCATCGGTATTTGATGTAACGGACACTCATAGTAGGGGAAGGAAACAATCAAGTCATCATTATCAATGTAACAGACACTTTGATTCTAGTATGCAGGTAATAACACATACAAACTGTACAAGCTGTACAAAATGAAAGATCATAAGTGATAGGAAAAATTGATGAAACAGCAGAAATGGCAAAGAGGCAGGGCTATCTACTAGATATGAAATCAGTGTAGGATATCAGCCATCACATGTGCATGTACATACCACATTTGGAGATCTTATCAGGCCTTGAGGTTTGAGAAATCATCTAAGTCATCCTCATCTTCTACAACCAAAAGCACATTTAAGGGTGATTTGCTAGTAGATTCACCTGTGGATGCTGAGAATATATCATCGGAACGTTTTCCTAAGATCTTCGAGACTTGTTGTACCTGAGTAGACAGAGATCAGAGTGAAGGTAGTTGGTATCATCTGCAACTTCTGTCAGGTTGTGGGAAGAAAACCACTCTCTCATTTTCTCCAACTTGGCATCCTCTAACCCCAGGAACTGTTTACTCTCAACATGGAGTGCTTCAAGGAATGCTGTCTAGCGCTCAGCCTCTTCAATCTCCCATGTTGTCATCAACAGATGTTGGTGTGCTGTAGGTTTACAACTCAGAGTGGTACTATAGGCTCCAAACTGATATCTTTATGTTGTAGGTCGTCCAATACCTAGTCTGCTATATTTGCAGAACAAGTGCGTTCAACCCTAAAGGGGAAGCTAGTGCAGCAAAGGTCTAGAAATGAGCGCAGAAGGTGCTGCTTAGCAGCCAATGCAAAGCGCAGAAAAGTGGTGGGTGCACACGCAGAAACAAAGCAGCAGCTAATAGCTGAAGGTGTAGGAAAATGTGGCTGTGAAGCGGCTGCAGCGTGGGTGGTTCAGATTATAATAGAGATGACTGATAATAGAAATAGATGTAAAGTGGAACAGTAATGGACGTGGTGCGGGTGGTAAACAGACACAGATTACCAATAGCTACCAACTGTAGGCTAATGGGAGTTGCTACTGGAATGTCTGGAAAACAAACTACTGAAAGATATGTACTGCTAGTGTTTAAGTATTGCACTAAGCATTTTCATGTGGAACCAAGCCAATGCACTACCAAGTAGGGTATGTAAAGCTATATGTAAATAAGTGTCTATGATGAAATAAAGGTGGTGCAATGTGGAAATGGTCTGATATGTAAGTATTAATTGCAGAAAATGTACCATTGGGTTGGTTGGACATGGACAGATGGTGCGAAACATTGGCTAATGAAGCATGGCTATGCATGGCTGTGCACGCATGCAGGAATGCAGCGGCTATTGTGGGAAAGTAGTGGCCAATGTGCGTGGTCACAGGAAAGCTGAGCTTCATATAGTAAAGCAATAGGATACTGAGGGATACTGCAAAAATAGCCTCTATGAGGCTACAAGGACTTCCAGTCCTACATCATGCCCTCATAGACTTCATCTACCTCGCACAAAATCCAGTTCATTTGCCTGACTCACTGAATTCCATGGCATAGGCACTTGTGGAATTCCACTCCTTCAAGGATGCCATCATTGATGTTAAGGCAAGGAGGGGGAAGAACAGTGCAAAAGAAGATTTTTTCACCCCTAAACTCAAGCTACTGCAAAGCTTTTGTGGGACAGTTGAGAGACTGGGCTCATTGATGCAGTTTTTGGCTGATGTGACAGAGCACTTGCTCATCACACACTGTAAGGATCTGTTCAGTTGGATGAGTTGACAAAGCAAAGATTTTGCATTGCAGTGTGTGCGGATCCTGGACCAGCAAGAAGCAATGGAGATCTTTGACCTGTTTGCGCTGTTGCATTCTTGTGGTGCATCACTAGTCAATGCTATACATGCCGAGGATGAAGATGTCATAACCACCAACCCTGCACTCTCCTGGGTTTCCTGAGTTCTCCCTGACGAAGCAAAGGTCTATGGTCCTCAACCTATCTGCAACCACTTCCTCAAAGGCATTCTCTCTGGAGATGCACTCACCACCTTTCAACTGAATGTAATGCCGGATTACAAATCTCTGTCCCCAGTTGAGATTTGCACAGAATACTTGCTCCCTGACTTTGATATCACACTCACCAATTTCATTCATCATTCATCCCAGTCCATGGGCTAGCGCATAGCCTCTGGGACAGTGTAGAGACTCATGCCTCTCATGGCGTGATATGGCAGTTTCCACTAAGGGAGTATACAGCACCAACTCGCAGCACCACTCTGTGTACTGTCCACAGCAATTCCTATATGAGGCGCAGCTTTCCCGCACCATGTGCGCACCATTCCCGCGCTTGCGCGCCCTATAGCGCCAGCCATCCAGATGCATCCATCCACTGTCCACCAAGCTCCCTAGTGCGTATATTTCCATTTCCTTTATTAGCATAGTGTTCCACCTTTATTTTTATCATGGACTCTCACCCATATATATCCTTACATACCTACTCGGTAGCGCTTTGGCTCCGCATGACCGCGCTTAGGCGCGCTATATAAGCGCCAGCAGTACATACTATTACTTTACTGAACTTTCACCTCTCACTTTACCTAGTACTTACTACCTAGAAAGTCGCAATAGAACTCTATTCCTTTACATCTCGCACTCTTCTCTTATATTGCATTATATTATCACTTAAGCTTAGTCTCTCTACCATTTCTGCACGCGCGTGCGCGCTTTCCCATGCTTCTCGCTAATATGCGCGCGCATTCCCGTGCCTTCGTACCTTGCGCGCACCTGCGCTTTCTCGCACTTCACTTCGGCGCGTACCTTTAGATCTTCGCTGCACTTGCTTCCCCTTAAGGGTCGAACGTGCTTGCCATCTCAAGCATAGCAGACTAGGCAACACTCGACCTATGACATTTTTAGATACAGTTAGGAGCATCTTTTGTTCCTAGCGGTATTGTTGTTTCTACAACGGCAAATATGGGTACCTCTCTATGTGGAACAAATTCCAACTACAGCTTCACTCAGCATTCCAGCCATGAATCATAATGCCAAGCAGAGTGATACAAGCTTACCCACCTAGTGAGGATTTTTCCTTCGGCAACTATGATACAGTTCTCATTGAAACCATGAGAGATGATGGCCAAACGAGTATGTATGTTTCTGTACTGGTTTTTAGTACTGATTTTATCATTTTTTCCAGGCAGTTATGTCACACAGGTCTGACTGTTTTTCCAGCCAACAATTTGATGAGGATCCAACTTAGACCTTCTCACATACCTTTCTACTCTATTTTTTTATGTCCAATACTTCCACTTTATTGCCTCTCCTGACGAACAACCAGAACTTTCAATGTGGACTGTGGAGTGTTCGTATGTTCAAGATAATACTGGTAATCATTATAGGCAGGGTGCTGTGGTGCAAATTACAGATGTAACACACACTATCGAACTTATACCATGTTTTGGTGAGAAAGTGGCCAGTGATATTTCATTGGCCACTTATTTGGAACATCATGAGTGTTTCTTTTTGAACAACTTCACAGACAAAGAGAGCTACCATACATTTAGTACTGAATTTGCGTAGACTGTGGCTAGATTAGCATGATCAATTGTATTGACTATTGCTATTGCATCTTATCACCAAAAGATAATCAGGCTTGAGTTTTATCAGTCAGATATAGTGCATTATATTGGTATTCAGCATCTCTACCAATCACATGAGTGCATTACTGAAGTCATAGGCATTTGTAAGTGTCCATAATGTGTGTAAGTTAAGTGTTCATTTCAGTGGTTTTGCAGATGTGGCAATTTGTATGACATAATCCATCAGGTTTGCATTTAGATTCACTTTTGTTCCTCACCACTCATTGTACAACCAAGTCTATTCTAACATGTCCCTTGCTGCTATTGCTGCAATAGCCAATGCTACCTTTAGACACTTGGCTGATCACCTTGAACATCTTTTGGGTCAGGTACTCTAATTGGATCCTGCTAATCCCACCAATAGCCAGTTGGTACTAGAAATAGCCAGCATTTAGTAAGTAATCATTTAATCTTCATAAGCTTATCTAAATATTTTTTTAATATATGTACTGCAGATAAAAACATTCTCACCAATTATGCTCTTGACAGCTGCTAAGCTGAGCAAGCACATTTATGCCTTCTCCTATATAAAAGTAAGTACCTAGTGTGGGCTAATATTTATGCTGGAGATCTCCACTGCAAAAGGAGTCTTCTCTACCCTTTGACCATTGGATATAGGAAAGCCTCTACTGACCTATCTCTGCTAGTGGCTAGTCCTTCACAACTTCACACTACAAAGGATAAAGGCAAGCAAAAGGCCTTACTAAAATGCAGTAATGAAAATTGAGGCTGACCAATTGAATGGGGTAAACATTCTGTAATAAGTTCCAGTCATCCACCAGCTGCAAAGCACCACTATGCTTCTTTAAAAGTGGTCATCACTAGTAATGATGACCAGGAGTTGGACACTGCACTAGCTCTAGCAAAGGCATTGGTAAATCCATCTCATAGTCTAGTGAAAACATCAATGCAATCTAATATGCTGTCACCACATGCAACTGCATGATTCAAAATGGTACACAGAGTAAGTTATATTTTTTCTTATTGAATCAGTGCCTTATTAATAGGAGTTAGGCAGGCATCCTTACAAAGTTGCCTCCTGCACTCAAAAAGTCCATGTACTGCAATCAGTCAGCTATAAGGTTGGTGGTATCTACCGATGATGAAACTAATGAGATTCCAAATATTGGACCTTCAAAAAGTATCAGAATGCCATATATTCTGGTTCTGGTAAGTTACCTAATTTATCCTATATATCAGCTAACACTATCTTATGTAGCCTGCCAACATTGCCCCAGTGCCATTACAGACATCCACAGTTGCCAGCATTCTCACTAAGGATGACTATGCTAACTTATCATCTCCAATATGGAACCTACTATATGGCAACTGTGTGCAGCATGATCTGGTCTATTGTCAGAGTTATAATAACTCTAGTAGATAGCTGACTGTTTGTGCCTAGTGCCATAGATCAAAGCAAAAGTATGGTAGTAACAGGTCTACTCTGGTGGGTAGACCAAAAAAGGTAATGCTGGACTACATTCACTGCACTCGATCATGATCTTACTATTGTCCCTCACTATGTGTAGCCTCTCAACATTTAGATATGTATCTGTTCTTTTGTTGTATTGAAATCTAAGTTATTTAGATATGAATATTTCACTAGTATCAGGAAACCCAGTTGCTCTGACACCTGCTATTCCCAACATCCCTAACATTCCTGGTACCATCCCAATCTCACCTGCACCAGCCATTGTCACTAGAAAGTTCAAGAACTCCATATAATAGTCACTAGATTGCAAGATTGGGTTGCTGTTGGTAAGCATCAACTGGCAGAGACCAACCACAGATTGCTTCAGCAATAGGCCTACTTCAACTTCATTACAGAAGAATTAGCCAACCTTTGCTAGCAGATGCTTCTGCTACCCATGGTGCTACCGGTGCCTGAAGTATATTTACCTATCATGATCAGAGGCCAACAGCTAGCTGAGCATTCCATAACCAAAGTATATGAGGTGCAATCTCATTGAAAGGCACTAGTCAGGTTAATTCTCAACAGAAACTTAGAAACTGTGATAAAGCATGTATAGGTTGGCTTGTATTGGTTAGGCATGATCAATTGTCTAGTAGTAGGTAGGTGAAATATGAAGTACTTAAAGTTTTTAGTCCTAGGGTAACTGAGGATGAAAAATATGGATTTACATGATCATAGCAACATGGTTCTCCTGGATTCCTTATCTCCCCTTCAGCAACAAACTTGGACATTCTGCATCTATCAGCTTTATTGAGCTTGGAGTTAGGGAGGACACTACACAAATGCCTATGTAAGGAATGCAGCTCTAAGTGACTCAAATCAGTATTAGCACTGTACATGGACTGATAGACTTGAATTACTGGAACTTCAAATATGAACTCCTTCTCAAATCAGTATTAAACTAACAGACTTGGATAGCCTCAGATCAAACAACATGACTTCTCAGTGCCTGAGGAACTGCCATAGGGGCTACTAGCATGTTAAACATCCTCAAGGTCCTTCAAAAAAGCCAACTACCAGTTGAGAGTAATGTTTGCCTAGAACACTCTTATCCAAAGAGTCAACTGCCAAACCAAACATGCATGTGTATCAATATGGAGTTGCAGCTTGATGCATACCTTGGATGGTTAGATCTTAGACTTCAAAGTAAGTTTGTATATTTAATGAAATATTAGTTGGCATTAACATTTGGCTATCACTTATACCTCCTCTCATAATCTCACATTGTCTCAGTATAAACTGGTCTCTCAGTTTACTGAAGATGCATTTGCTAAAGATGATTAAGTGTGTGAATGCTCCACCTGTGGCTCCAAGATCTTGAAGGGTGATCCTTGTTTTTATGTAGCTACTGTGGATCCAGGAACACCAGGACATTATGTCTGTAGTCCTTATCACAAATAATACCATGGGAAGTAAGCTACAACAGTGAGACCCTGCCATAAGTGGCCAAATCTACACATCATCCAGTGGTCTGTGAATGCTGCACAGAGAAAGTATGAGTAAGGAAAATCTATGTTACTTTATACACTGACAATCATTCTGTGACAATTAATCTACCACCTGTTGTGACTATGGTTCACATTGCACACACCATGTCAGGTCCCAGTGTCAATGTTCCATTAACATGGCAGTGCCCACAGTGCCTATTTTAGGCCTGACCCACTGGTCCATTTCCTCAGGCTACTGGCCTCTAGTTATTCTGAGTACCATGCTACATCAGGAAAAAATGTTCAAGCCTTTTTGTTACAAGTAACATCGGCTACATGGCCCCCCTATCATTTTTCCCCTTTGTCCTCGCCCTCGTATGCCTCCGGCTCGTACTTCTCTACCGACTATCCGTTGACCGGATCCTCGGGACCGTTCCCGTCCCTCATCCCCCTCCTATCGCACCAACGTGCGCACGTGCCTTCGGGCTATGACTCGTTCTGACTCGTGCCACCAATGTGGCTTTCCTTATCTTGTCTTATCTTTCCTTTGACTCGTGCATGATGCACATTGTATCATTTACCGTTGGTTCGTTCCAACGTTTCTCAGTCTCATTCCGCATTCGACCTTACATCACTAATCAGGCTCTGCTACCAGCGTACCTATACCCTTTCCGTTTCCCCTTTGCCCTTACCTACAGTACGGTAGCCTTGCCCTTAACCCTTTCCACTTAGTATAAGTAGTCGGTCATTCTGTACTAGATTCCCTAACTTGAATCTACTCAATCTTCCCTCGAACATACTTCCCTCTGAAGCCCCCTCAGCTTCAGTCTCTAGTATCTTTTTCTTAGGTGCTCATCGCGCCTAAGTCTACCTCGATCGACTACTCATCGTTCAGACAAGACTGTCCTTACTTTGAGAACGTCAGTGACTTTAAAGACATCCGTCTTAGAAGTCACGTGACACGCGCTGTCTTCTTAGATAGATGATCTATAGATAAACACCTATAAAAACAAATATCTCCACGGTCAGCGATTCAGACAAATACCAATGACTGATAACGTGGTCGTTCGTGGGTGGCTAGTTGTATACTACCCAAGGTATGTTCAGCTAAGGATACTTCTGCAAGATCAGTAATACGATGGTCAATCCAATCTATGGACTTTGACAGGAAAACAAACAAACAATGGTCAGCCCGACAGTATGGCAATGACCAAAAGAATATATGGGATTCTTCCTCAAGTTCCCTTTCAACAACAGTGCTTCGTACCAACTATACTCCAAAAGAAATGGTGCGGAATTACAATGATAAACTCCCTCAGCACAAAACAGGTAAA